TATATATATATATATATAATGTTTTAAGCCAGGAAGTAGGAGCCTTTTCTTCTCAGTTCAATTACAAAGTCTCAGGAAATGATTTAGGGCAAAGACCCTAGCTTATTACGTCCACAGGTTTAGAGGAGGAAGCCCAGAAGAGAGTGTGCCTCCAGAGCCACAGAGTTCTGGGGGAAAAGAGCCGTTACCCCAAAGAGGTCGGGTGATATTACCAGGAGAAGGGAGAGTACTGGGCCATGGAGCCTCATGATGGCAGAGAAAGCCTGCGAGCTGGTATCAGGGATCTGGCTTTTATTCTTAGGGTCCTGGGGAAGCTCTGGAGGGCGTGGAGCCCAGTTATGATGTGGTCCCATGATGGGCTTGCCGTCTGGCAGGGCAGCCCCCATCTTGGCCTTGCAGTCAGAATGGCTTTTGTTTCTATTCCAGAGGCCAGACACGCCAGAGTGGCTCAGCAACAGGGAATCAGAGACCTGGGTGGTTTGCAAAATGGAATAGAAACGTGGGGTTGGGATGGGCACGGCTGTGGGGCCAGGCACTCTCAGTCTGCTGCAGATTTCAGACCCCTTGAGAAGTCCCTCAACTCTGGGAAGGCATTGGCCAGTGCCAGGAGGTTCCTAGAGCTCCTGTGAAACATGCACACCCGAGCTGGCGGAGTGCCTTTGGCCCTGGAGCCAGGGGTAGACTGCTTTGGCTGACAGCTTGTGTGAGGGGAAGCATCTTCCCCCGAAGTACTCTCATGCCATCTGGTGGCCTGTGTTGAAAGAACGCCTGCTAACCCACGGTGACGGTGAGGGTGGCGCCCTGCATACCACCAGGCGAGACTGGGCAGACCGCCATCTCGAGAGCCTGTGAGCTCCCCAGGGACTAGGTCCCCACCCTGTGCAGGTCCCCAGTACCCTTGGAGGAGTGCCCTTCTCCAGCGCAGTCCCAGCTCAGCAAAACAGAAGCCAGGTGGAGATGCCTCACGAGGGGCAAGGTGATCTCTCTCAAAGAAACGGCAGCCGAGTGACCTGGTCCGTCAGAGCCGAGACCACCGTGGATGTTATAGAGTACACGGTGCATTGCAGGAGTGAGACAGTACACAATTGCGGGAGAAAATGATTGTGAAAACTGATCCAGGAGGGAGAGTCAGAGAGCGTCACTAGGCAGCCCCCCGAACCCTGGGTGCTCCAGGGAACCTGGGAGCAGCCTTATCCACTACTGGATTGGGGCGTGAACAGAGCCTGTGGGAGGAACTGTGGGAAGTGGCTGGCTCTGCCTGGACACGGATAAAGTCCGTGACCACGAATCTGGTAGTGGCCCCGGGCTGCTGCTGGTCAGTGGAGCTGGCACCAGGAGTGGGCCGGAGGGTGGCCTGAGCCCACCGGGCACCTCTGTTTCTGTCCGTTGCCAGTCTGTCCTGCAGATCTTCAGAAGGCCAGGCGCTGCTTTGTTCCTCTCCCCGGCCCCCCTGGCCTGGCTCACAGGGAAGGGGTTCTGGGGAGTGAGATGCAGCTTAACTGGGCTGATGATAGAACAAGCCCACTAGGTAACTTCTTGGAGCCTCCCGAAGCATTCACTTGTGTAGCTGTTACCCTGGAAAGTTGGATTGATGACACAGCCATATCGCATGCTGGTGGCGTTGTCTAGGTGTCGGGGGTTCGAGGGATTTGGGGCCGATCAAGGAGGAAGAACCATGAGAAGCCTACAACTCCACCAGCTTTGCCAAGCTGCACTTGGCCCGAGTTGCAGGAGAGGGTCAGTCTCTCCCAGTGTGAGGACTCCCTTGTCTGGGTAACCCCCTCCGTGGCACAGTGTGAGCCTCCAGGCCCATAAGCCTTGGGCTTATGAGTAGGCAGCACCTGTCAGGTGAGATTCCAGGGTGTGGAAAGCAGGAAAGCTCTAAAGGGCTAAATGTTTGTTTGGGCTGTTTTTAAAGTACTTGGGTTTGGTGCCAGGCGGCTTTGGAGTGAGTGGGTCTCTTGTGTACGGGAGGGAGTCAGCTCACGGAACCTCCTCGAGGTGGTGTTTTCACTGTGGGGCATATAACATTTCCCAAGAAGTGATTTACACGTTTGCTCCCCTCACAGAGAGTGTCCCTCCCTCGGCACACCGCTGCTTCTGAGGCCCCAGAGCAGCCCTGCGCCCATGTGCTTGGGCTCGCTTCCTCATGGTTCCATTCGGCAAACCTGAGCTGGGTGCCTTCCATGGGCCCAGAGGACTGCTGGGAGCTGAGGATGCGATGGGGGGAGCAGGGAGCCACTCAGGCTCTGCCACCTGGAGCTCGGACTCCGGAGGGACAGGCACGTTGCGATGGAATCGTCATCCACGTGAAAGTCTACTCCAAACCATGGTGGGGGGAGGTTGAGGAAAGGCAGCAGGCGCTCTCGGAGGACATGGCAGGGGATGTGATCGGCCAGGATGGGTGGGGACGAGGGTGGGCTTCCTGGGGAGTGTGGCATTTGAGCCCATGTCTGAAAGACCTTGCACAGAAGGTCAAGAGGAGGAATGGGAGGTGGGGAGAAGGTCCATGCAGTCTGGGCCCCAGAGTGCCCTGGTCAGGAGGTCTGAGCTCCACACGCCTGGGAGAGGCTGATGTGAATTCCCAGGCTGCCGTGGACAGGAGCGTGGCCTCCTGGGCGGTCATCCGTTTGCTGTCTGCTGCAGGTGGGTGAATACCTCTGCAGGACAGTTTCTGAGGGATATGGTAAAGTAAAGTAGTCAATTCATAAATATTTGAGAAATGAAGGAAAGGAAAGAGTGAGCAAAGGAGAGAGGGACAGAGGGTCTCACCCTCATGTCCATCCAGTGAAGTAAATGTTGCCCATTGTACGGTCAGCACAGCTGAATGTGTCAGCCCTGAGGGTGGAGGGTCGGTACCATCTCCTTGAGAAGAACCTTGAGAGAGCAAGTGATGCTGAGCCAGGCCTGAGCCCGGCTCCTGCTCCTTCCCTGTCCCTCGGCAGGTTGGCTGATCTCATGGAGCAGCACCAGGAGGAGTTGGCCACCATCGAGGCCCTGGATGCGGGCGCTGTCTACACGCTGGCCCTGAAGACCCACGTGGGCATGTCCATCCAGACCTTCCGCTACTTTGCTGGCTGGTGTGACAAGATCCAGGTGGGGCATGGGCTCCCACCCCTGGCATGAGCACGCACACAGGCAGGCTAGGCCTGCGGTAGGGGACGTCAAGGGAGGTTCACTAGTGTTTGTGCTGCATAACAAGTTGCCACAAATGATTGGCTTGAACAATGCCCAGTGATGAGTTTGCGGTTTTGCAGGTGGGCATTTCAGAGGGCTCTGCTGGGTTCCACACCAAGGTCTCATAGGCTGAAGTTAAGGCATCAGCTGGGCTGGGGTCTCACCTGGAGGCTCTGAGGCAGGACGGGCCCACTCAGGAGCTGCAGAGTGGCTGCCGGACTGAGGACCCAGATCACTCCTGAACGCAGCCCGGGACCCCTGTAGGTCTCCCTTTCCGTTTCCCTCCATTCCTCAGTGACAGCAGGCCGTCCTTGGGCTTGGAATCTCTCGGACGCACTCTTCTGCCACTAACTGGAAAAAACTGCTGTTCTAGCGTTCCTCTAGGCCCATATTCATCATCTCCCCACCCTAAGGTCAGCAGGAATGCACGACATTTTTGAAAGAGGGAGAATTCACCCTATTTCCAGGCCCCAGGGATCAGGTGTGCAACCCAAGGGCCACTTCTGGGGGTTTCCCAGGGAGACCCGCCCCTGCAGGGCTCACAGCCTCTCCTCCAGATCTGGGCCCCACGGCTCCTCTCCTCTCCATCGGGGCGTGAGCAGCAAGGGAAGTGGGCAACCCGGTGCCTGTTCCTCCTGCTGCCCCATTACTTCTGGCCTGAGCTGGCTCCAGCTCCAGAGCCCCTGGGGAAGCCTGGCTCCCAGGGCCCGTCCCCACCCTCACACTCACCTTCTCTCTGCCCCAATGTCAAGGCTAGAGGCCCTGTCCACACCGGGACCATTCCTGCCCGGGGCTGCCTGCCAGCTCAGAGTGGCACCAGCACTGGCCCCTCCTGCTGCCCACCTTCCTGTCCCGACTCCCCAGGTGTTCCTGTCATTACCTCAGCTGGGATTTTGACTTCCTTCCTGGTTTCATAGTGGGGAAGTAAGGACACGGACAACCCCCGTCCCTCCTGGGGCTCCTGGTGGGTGCCCACGCCCAAAGGGGAAGGGGTGCGGGCCCCACACCCCTCCAGTGATGCTCCTGTGCTTCTTCCAGGGCTCCACCATCCCCATCAACCAGGCCAGACCCAACCGCAACCTGACCTTGACCAGGAAGGAGCCTGTTGGGTGAGTCCCCCCCAGGGACAGGTATGGCTGCACGCCACCTGTGCTGCCCACACAGTGCACTGTGGGACCCACCAGGATCGACTCCAGAGAGCACCTGATGTCCTTTTTACATGTATTTATCAGCAGCTGTTCCAAGCACTGCTAAAGTGCCTGCTCTGATAAATATAAATGTATTTAATCCCCACAGTATACTATCAGTTGGGTCCATGGTAGGAAATAAGGGCATAATCCAAAATATTTTATCCAAAAAGAGTATGATGGGCTGGGCATGGTGACTCAGTCTGTCATCCCAGTACTTTGGGAGGCCAAGGTTCGAGAGGACTGCCTGAGCCCGGGAGTTCAAGACCAGCCTGAGTAACTTGGTGAGACCTCTTCTCTCCAATAAATCACAAAAAAACTAGCCGGGCGTGGTGGCGTGTGTCTGTAATTCCAGCTGTTTGGAAAGCTGAGGCGGAAAGATCGCCGGAGCACAGCCGGTCGATGCTGGGGTGGCCGTGAGCATGCTACTGCACTCCAGCCTGGGTGACAAGAGTGAGACTCCAACTCAAAAAAAAAGAAATGATGGTCAATGTTCATAAAAATGAGGAACTACACAGTACCAAGTATCAGGGAAGGAAAATGAAAATAAACAATGGCGAGAAACAGCAGGAGCAATACGCACACAGCCCAGACCACCACTGGGTAGGCACCAGGGAGAGGGAAACAGAAACAGGCCCAGGACGCCTCCTCTCGCCACCAGATGGCCCCAGGGCCGGGGTACAGACAAGGGCCCAGAAACTGACATGGGAGCCGCAGAGTTCCCCTCTGCCTGAGGCAACCTGTGGCCTTCAGGGCCCACACATCCTCACCCCACGCAGCTGCCGTCACGGTGAGTCACTCACAGGTGCCCAAGGAGGCTGGCCTGAGCGCACAGCCACTGTGCTTGGACAGTGACGGCAGACACGGAACTGTTGCCCTGATCTTCCATCCTCTGCTTCAGGCCGGCTCTGTCTCCAGTCTGCAATCCCATTTGCTCTCTGTCTGTCCATCAAGATTGTTGCTGCCCTGACCCTAGTGCCTGCATCCTGGTATGCAGGGAGCATCCCATAAATACTTGTAGAATGACTGAGTGAGGGCTCCCAGTGAGCCTGTCTCCCCTCAGCCCTGATGGGTGCCAAGTGACCCAGCAATGAGGCCGCAGCTGCCTCATGGAAGGCCCTGCCCCTCCCTCAGGCTCCTCAGCCCCTCACAGACCCCAACATCTGCTGGAGCCGGAGTGCTCTCT